TTTATGCCATTCATTGTTGATAAATAATTGTGTATATTTAATTTCAACAGCTGAAGCTTTTGAATGAGTCGAAGACATCTGAAAAAGTGAGAAGAAGTGGATAAAAACAGAGTATTTTGATTGAAAAATAACATGATAATGATGATATTATCAACATTAATGTCGATAAAAACCCAAAATGTATACTGCATTATATTTGCACTGTCGCCCTCTTTCATCTGCGCGCAAACACATACTCACTTTTTCTCTTTTCCTGCCGGCTTATATATCACGGCTGTTCTGTTTTCTCACTGCGTACACAGAGAGTAAATAGCAAATATACGAAAAACACGCGGCCTTTATTCTTACTAAGAAACTATATTAATGCGAAGAGACAGATTACAGATGCAATGCGCAAGTTAGAAGTAAACAAGAAATAAAATAGCTTGTTAAGGTTTAATAATAGTTTTCAATGCTCAAATAAAAATCATCGTAATAAAAGAAAAACATGACCCATTGATTGATGAAATATTTCTGTCTATTCCCTATAAATAAAAATCTAGTAAAATAAAACTAAAATAGTCGCCGATCTATAAAAGAAATACTATTAATCATGTTTTTCAATATTATATGGATGCTTTATGACATAAATTAGATTATGAGATTTTATTCCTAATGCTTTTAATGTAGTTGTAGTCTTCATTCGGTTTTAGCATCAAATGAGTCATCAACTACACGTTTCTTGGCTAATTCTACGACTTTAGTCACAAATTGATCATGAATTTTTGAACGAACAAATATACATGAGCAGTAGTAACGACAAGATCAACGATAAAAATGAAAAACAAATAAAACATTTAATTTTTCGAAATTTTATCAAAATAGAAAAAAAATATAAATATATAATTACATACGATCAGCATCTTCGTAAATAATCAAGGACAAATTACTATCTATTTTTATTAATAAGAAAATATTGTATATAAATTATAAGCAAATAATTTTGAGGTATTAGAAATATTGATTTTATAAATAATAACGAATGCCAAATGTAAGACGATCGTTGAATTAACCACAAATAAAATGATCGTGATGTTCTAACTAGCATTTCTTCTTTTCATATACCTCGATATATTATATGATAAGAATAGAAAGAATAAAGTTATATTTGTCTTTTGTTTTCAATAGAACAAAGCAACTATAGTCACATACGAATTTGTCGACGTTTGATAGATAATTTCTGTTAAACTATACGATATAAAGGTTTTGTATTTCGGCTAGGTTTTTGAATAATATAGAACAAACTCGATTTTAGATCATACAACGAATACATTTAGAACAATAGTTTACTAAAACCAGTGCAAATAATAAGTTTAACTATGATATTTGTAATAGTCTACATATATTTATAATGAATTGAATATTTATGAATTTTTAACATGCTTCAAATTAATGTCATAACTGAAAGCAATATAAAACCATGTTTTGCATAAGTTATTTTATGACACACAGGATAGAATTTTAGTAATTCCAATGGGCATGTTGATTATCATCAAATCAATATCTATTGTTTGTGTTGGATTAAACAAAAATGATCTAGAATAAAATAATGTAGTACTTTTAAGTATGCGATATGATGATACTGCAAGTAATCAATGCTCTTATTATATTGTAAAACTTTCACTACTAAAAACTTAACGATCTTCAAATAAAATTGAATGATATTTAAAAAAAATTTCATTATTTTCAACAGTCGAATAATATTTATTTATCTATTGAAAACTGAACAACAACGAAAAACATTTTAATATAATTAAGTAACAATAATAATATTGGCACAAAAAAAGGCAGCGAGTTTGAGTTTGTATCAATTCACCATAAAATAATACATAGTACAAATAAAAACTTTTTTTGTTCAAATTTAATGTTTATCACGTTTCAGTATTCTTTTACTTATTTGACGTATATTAGAATGAATTTGATCTTGATGTATATTGTCATCATTAACTAATAATCGACTTTGATTTGTACCAATGATTGGTTTCGATACAATAATAAGTAAATCAGTTAAAAAATCACGATTACCAAGTAATTCTACATGTGTCACCGCGTATTCTCCACCACGTAAAGCATCTTCGAGACGTGTTGTTAATATGTCAAATGTTGTTGTTTTATGTATATATTCACGAATTATTGTTTTCACTTGTCCAGGATTATGATAACTACCTTGTTCTTTCCATGGACCTGCGCACATATGACCCAGTGAAACAAGTGGAACGGTTGCATCACCTGGACCAAGATTAACACCTGATTTAATATTTGAAGCAGGGACGGTATCAGAAGTATTGAACAGAAGTAAAGCACTTGAACAATGATCTGTATGAGGATAAAAACCGTAGGAATATCCACTAAAAGAGAGAATAGATAATAAGAAGATATAAAAATGAGTATTCTTACCATTCAGTCATTGGTTCTTTAATGTAACCATACACTAAAAGAAAATACATAATAAATTTGTTTCTGAATAATTCAAAAAACTTACTGCAATAAATTTTAAAATTTGTCACATTAGGTAAAGGTGTTGAAAGTGGATCTGTCCAATATCTTGAATCTGTTTTCCATTTATTTTCATTTTTATCTGTTTCACCTGTACCATTTAAATCATAATATTTATCAACTAAATTCATATAACGTGGTGCAAGTGTTTTTAAAACATCATAAAATTGTTCAACGGTATGATTATTTGTCATAATTTCTTCAACTAATTCTGGTTTAGCATAAATTTCTTCAAGTATAGAATCAAATCCATCACAATAATCAACTTCTTCGTTACATTTTTCTCTTATCTCACGTAATGTATTTGCAAAACCTTTATATTTATCTTTTGGAAACATAAGCATATATTTTATAGGATCTTTTTCTATTCCATGACATTCACTCCAAACATTACTTCCACCTATTGAACAAAAACAAAAGATTAATAATAATAAATTTTAAGTATTAGATTCTTTACCTCGTGGAAACATGGATGGTACACTTGCTAATGCACGAAAGAATTTCGGAAAAACAACAAGTTTACCAACTACTTTGCCAAGAATATTTCGTCCAAGATCACCTAGCATAGCTGTATCTTTCATTTCACCAGATAGAACAGCACTAAATGCTTTTGGTGTACCTAATAATGGTCCACCAACATTAAGAAATGTTGCAACACTAAAAGAAAATAAATATGAATAATTTTTATTATTTAAACTTTTTCTCACTTTTCATCAATCCATTGATCTCCAGCATTTTCGGTAACCCATCGAAGAAAATACATAATATAATTAGTTCCCATAGAATGTGTTAATAATGCAACTTTTTCTCCATGTCTTTTACTATAATAAATTAAAACGATACATAAAAAAAAACCAACGAACTCAGTCAATTTACCGAAGAAATTCAGTATAGAATTTTAATTGTGTAAAATAACCATCACGTTCTTCGAGAAGTTGTGGTGTTAATCGCCAATCATAACCAAGTGTTACTAAATTGTTTGGATCATAACCAATATCAGCTAAATTTTGTATTACTTTACTCCATAACCAATAGCCAGGAAAGCTAACTACGGCAAAGAACTAGTACATTAAATCTAAATAAATATTTTGGTTACATACACATAATCAGCTGCAGCCCAACCAAGTACAGGTCTAAGACGAATTCCTTCAGGATCCATCCTAAACAAACATAAGAGAAATTATTTTTAATACATTTTTCTTTTCTTTTTAAAAATATTTTATACGTACCAAGTCGAAAGATTCAATGATATATGTTTAAGCCAACATTGATGATCTCGACCAATATTATCAACCATTTGCATCGATGTCCAAAACCGATGACGAAATTTTCCCTTAGCACACTCTGTTCCTTGCCATAATTCTAAACCAGTTGATATAATACCTGGTATAATAATAATTGGCATTGATGGTTGTCGATATTGAGATAAACGTTGTCCAGGACGAAGTTGAAATTCTTCGGATGTTAAATTATATTTTTTTAAAACATTTTCTAATGTATTTCGAAGATAAATTGAATAATCCGGACGCATATACATAATGATATACATTGCGCATAATAATAAAAATAATTTACAAAATAAATTTTGGCATAGACATGAACGTAATATTGATCTTCTTGGCAGCTCTTTTTTATTATCATCATTTAATATAATATCAATTTTATCTGGTGATTTATATGTAAAATACGATGCAAACCATTGAATAATCGATTGTCGAGAAGATAAATTTTTCGATTGTGGTAAATCAAGATTTGGTGTTTTGTCTTTTTTATGATGATGACGACGATGAATAATAGTTTCTGTTGGTTTTGATGTCAACTCTGGTGTTTCGTCCGTCATTCCTGCTCTAGAAAAATAAGGCAAGAAGTAAATAATTGTGAGACATATTTTGTAACCTTCGTACCCAATGTTAAAAAGAAATGAAAAGCGAAAGGAAAGAAAAAGAATCAAGTAAAATGTTAGGGCATGCAAAAAGTTATTCGTATAATGATTTCAATCGACAGTATACCATAATGGTTATGTAAGCAGAGAATCGATAAAATGTATACCACGATGTATGTGACGATTTATTGATTATATTTTCTTTTACGAATATCAAAACAAAATATATAATTATGATCAAGAAAAAATGTACATACTAAGAATGATTTTAAACAGAAATGATCGTTCATTTGACTACATCTCTAATCTATGAGAAGATATAACTCTATCCCATTGTACAGTTTTTTGTTAAAATGATAATATGTTAGTAATAGCAGTACATGCTTAAAATAAAGTTTATGACAAAAACATTCACAAAGTTATTAATTTAAACACATAAAGCAAATATACAAGTTGCTATGGAGAAAGCTAAATCAAAACGGCAGTTTTTTTTGCGATTATAGTTTATGAATAATCACCTTTATCGAAATTATGATGAACATCTTGAATAAAATATATATGATTAATCTAAATATCGAATATAAAGATTGTAAATAGATTTATGAAAATTCATTTATTTATTCTCGACTAAAAAAATATGTAATTTGATTCGTATACTCAAATATTTATTTTTACTTGAATTTTATTGACTATTTTTGTAAGTATACAATGAGAATTTCGAATATATGATGTAATTGAGAAAATCATAAAGATCGAAAAAGTTCTTGAGGTCGCCTTAGACAAACATGCATACTTTGTTTTATTTTGATAACGAAATCTATGAGTTAATAAAAATACTGAAGTGTTTGATAAGAAGAAAATGATAGATGTCAAGAATATACGTGTTAAACAAGATGAAATATAAATAAATTCAGTAAGCATCCGAACTTTTTCTTGTAAAAATATTCATTCATCATACACATTTTATTTCTATACTCCCTGCTCTCTGTCAATTAGATATGCTGTGATATATTAATGCGACATAATTGAAACAGTGGCGTGCCGACTAGGGGGCGCGTCGGGCGTAACACCTTCCCCTCTGCTTTGGGAAAATTTTTGTTTTTTTGGTCGCAAAAATTTTAAAAATCGAAAAAAATTTTTTTCGTTTTTAAATTTAAACAAAAACTCGTGCTGCGACCCCTCGACACCTGGTTACGCCCTTGACTTGAAAAGAGGACTGATAAAAATGAATAAAACAATAAAACAGTTTTCTTTGTCTGCCAATAGAATGTTAGTTCATATAGAATTCATTTTAAATTCAATAGACTTTACTGTATAATCCTTATGATTCACAGTGAATGTACTTATTATATTTCTTTGATCATTTCTTTTTTGCTTTTACTTCAAATCGACTGTTCTCTTATTTGTATAGCTAATTCTATTTTACGTTGGTTAGTGAATAACAATCTTTCGCCTCGTTACTAGTAAAAGACAGACAGAAAGAAGAAAAAAAAGAAAGTAACTCTTTACTCTGCATGTGCGCACACATAATAATAACGAATAATAACAAATAGTCATAGAATGAAGTATACTCTTCTTGACATCGTTTATATGGTCCATCTAAACTATCTTATATACAGTCCATAAATAATACATCTACGAAAAAAAAGGGCGTTTGTATATAAAATTATTTTATCTTTTCAGATGGGAAATGTACTACGTAAACGTGCTGAACTTTACAAAACCTTAACTGATGAGGTATTAAAACATTGCTGTGCAGTTACTGGTTTTAGTTCGGAAATAATTCGTAAAGAACATGAAAAATTCTTTAATATTGCTGAAGATGGTCGCTTAAAAAAACATTATATGGAAGAATTATTAGGTGATTATATTCCAGCTGGTAAACAAAAACGTGTAAAATATTTAACAAATTGTATATTTTCTGCTATTGATACAAACGGTGATGGTTACATTGATTTTCTTGAATATTTAATGAGTATAAAATTTTTTCAAACTGAATCTCCCATTGAAAAAGCTGATTTTATATTTCGTATTATCGATAAAAATGGTGATAATCTCGTTACAGCAAAAGAACTGGCACGTGTACTTAAATGTTTTGAAGATTATCATAAAAATTCGTCGAATTCTCATATTACAAATGTAATGTGTCATGGTCCATTACCTGCAGCAAATGCAATTCTTGAAAAATTAGATGAAGATAAATCAGGATTAATCGGTGTTTCGGAATTCGTCGATGGTTGGCTTAAAGATGAAACCATACGAGCATTATTCACATTCTAATTTTGTAGAAAATCAAAAAAAAAAACAAAATATTAATTGACAATGTGTCATGTGTAATTCTTTTTTTTTCTTTTTCAATGTATAATCATTTTCAAGACCCTTTTTTTTACTTCGGTTAATACACAACCAAAAAAAAAAATATTTCAATAACACAATAACAAAAAAAACACAAATCAGTAAATATTTGACACATGGAAGTTCGTTTTCTATATCTGTATGAAACAACAATAACAAAGAAAAAACGTTCACTAGAAACAACAATGATTGAGAGAGAGAGAGAGAGAAAAAAAAATTAAATACTTTAATCAAACATCACAGTAAACAACAAAAAATAATAAAACGTTTTGTTCTAGAGAAAATCAATTTTATAGTGGCGACGATTGATATATGATGAGAAATTATCATTATCATCATAGATACCAGATGGTTCAAAACCAAGATTACGATGTAATTGTTGTGTACATGTACGACGAATACCGAGTGGGGGCGTCCAGCGCCAATGATTCGGCCATTGAGCTCGACGTATGTAACTAGGAAAATCTACATAATTGAGATTAGAATAAATATAGCAAAAAACTAAATTCACATACAATACGGTTCAATAATTTTACATTCTTCATCCCAATCTTCAATTACGGAAGATGAAGATTCATCTAAAACAAAATTTTATTTAATTAGACAATAGAGCGAAAAAATAGACATCGTAAACATCGAAAGAAAATATTGAATTTATAACGCTTAACTTAACTACACATGTCATATTGACTCCGAGACTCGATAGGAAATTTTTAGAAGAAATACATCATCTTACATGTTTCCATCTTTTTCTTCATACGTACTTAACTCAGATACATCATTTTACTATCTAAATTATTCAATAAAACATGACATTGATTAAGAAGACTATCGGCTATTTTCTTCTTCAAATAAAAAACTAGTCTACATATTTCAGTCAGGAATTCAATTTGTTTACATAATATCTATTTCAAGCTCAAACAAGTTTCTTCTTTATTGAGCTATAACAAGATAATTCTAAGAAAAACAGTACTACAATCAATTTATTCCTAATAATCATATGTTGTTTGAAGAGGAAAATATCAATGCATTTCATGGAGTTTTCTTCTAAATGTTAAACCATAGTTTGTCTCGTATCTTAGTCAACCTTAATAAGAAAAATATGTTCCAATCAACATGTAGTTTTTCCTATATGCGTCTGAGAGTTCTTGTTAGATTTATTTTGAGAATAAATTAATACAAACCATCATCATATGGATTTTGTTTTGTTTTTGAAGGATAATTTGATTTTTTATGAATTAATTTCGATGTAATCGGTATTAACTGTTCATTATTAAGATTTCGTTTGCATTGCTTCATTGTATCAGACATCAGATTTAATTTCTTTTCTTCAAAATTCGAATTAATAAATCCTTCATCATCATCAATTAATGTATCCATTGATTCATTATTTGTATTAACCAGTAATTGATTATCTTTGTATTCATTAGGCTAGAAAAAATTTATTTTATTTATAAGAAAAAAATTATATATTTAAAATTACACTCAATGAACAATCTGTATCACTTTCGATGCCTGATGTAGAAGCATTCGACGACATCAAAATCTAGAAATAAATATCAAATCATTTGCGTTTCAAAACATGTTTTATTATTTAAAATATACAGAAAACAAAAAGAAAAACAGCATTAACTAGAATCATCATCATCATCATCATCATCGCCATATGAAACAAGAGATTTTTTTGTTACTGTTTCTGATGATTGTTGTGGTTTATCAATTTTTCGTACAATGCCTAACGTAGATGAAAGTTGTTTTTTATTGCTAGTAAATGTTGCTGGTGTCCAATTAATTTCCGATGGAATTGCTGATGTTCCTTTTAATACTTGTTGTTTATCAATTAGTTCACGTCGATCAATTTCTGTTTGTTCAGCAGCTAAAATAAATACTAAGAGAATTTTCTTTTCATTTAACATTTAATTTACATCGAAGAGTTTCTAATCGATAAAGTTTTGCTAATCGATCATCTTGCCGATTGGTAGGTAGAAGAGGTATATCAATGGATGCTTTTTTTCTTACAACATCATCAGCTTCTTTCTGTATACGAGCTTCACGTTTAGCTTCCTAAAACAAAAACGTATTAGAAGAAAATTTCTCTTTGAAATAAAAATTCTATACTCGTAAATCTTTTCTTAATACATAATTTATTATATAATCATCTTTCCATGCCGATTGTTGTACTTCAAGTTCAGTTAGATCAGGAGCTGATTTATTTGCTTTTTTCGATACATCTTTACCTTCAAATTCTAATTTAAACATAGCATCAGTTGCAAGTTTTTTCATTTCTTCTTTTGCTAGAAATAAAAAGTTTGTTTTTATAAAACGAATTAATTTTACAAAACTTACATTCCATAACAATTTGACCATTCTCAGCTGCATCCCATCGTTGTTCTTCACGACGTGCTCCACTTACAATAACATAATCACGAGCCTATAAGCAAAAGATCATTGATGAAAAAACTTTACTTGTTAATTGAACTCACTTTCGGATCAGTTTTTATTTCAAAATGTCCATCACATAAATGACATTTCATACGAAATTGAAGTATTGGTGTAGTAAAATAATTTCCAATTTTAGTTTTTTGAGCATTATAACGTACACCCATACCAATATGATTTCCACATGTATTACACCAAATATTATATGGCATTTCAAATCTAATAAAATCATAGATTTTAATTCCATTTTTTTTAAAATGAAAATCTCGTCATACCGAATAATAAGAATGCCTTGATCAAGTTTCCGTGCACGTTCACGGAGAGCATGAACACCTTGATAGCCATTTAAAGATGAATGTTTTCGCCAGTCGAAATCTGGTGGATAATATTTATTTTGACCTTTTCGTTCACCCTAAATACAAAATTATTTTAAAATAATACATCTCGAACACGTACGACTTACCATGTTAGTATCGACAGATGAACACTATCTCAAAAGAAAAAATTACACAAATAAGAATGATTCGAAATTTCTGTTTGTCAAAAGAAATGAGAAGCGCCCTCTATAAGATTTTATTTCTTGCATAATTACTCTTTCAACATTTTAATGAAACGACAAAAAAAGAATGAATTTTCAATATATTTATATAAAATTTTATTAGTTTTTTGATTGAATCATTGATTTTACAAATCATTAATATAGAAAATGACAGGTTGAGTTTTGATTAGATAATTATCAATCAGTAAAATTTTTTGTTTATTTATTATTTAAAAAAAAAGCCCAGCCCATAGAGTGACGAATGTTTTTCTAGTGATCGAGAAACAAATTTTTTTTTAAGGAATGCAGTCGTTGCACTATAATAGTGGTTCAATTAAATTAACTCGAGAACGAGCAACAATGGTTTCTCGTTGGGAAGCAAATGAAGTTGCAAGATGGGTTAAAGGTTTTTTTCGAACAAAAAAAATTTTTATTAAAATTATTATTCGTTCTATTTTTTAAGGTCTTGCTGGTATTCAAAGTGATATAGGTGATTTATTTATTGAACATAAGATTGATGGTATTGCTTTAAGTCTTTTACTTCGTGAAGATCTTATTAAAATGGGAATTATAAAACTTGATCAACAATTGATTTTAATGCAATCAGTTGATCTTCTTCTTACTCTTGTATGCTTTACTATCAATGTTCTTCTCTATTCTATATCGTCTATTGATATTTTAGGCCAATCGTTTAGGTAGCGAAACTCTTGCTCTACTTTTTATGCGTATTCATTGTGCTGCCACAACATGCTTTAATTTATTAAGAAGACCTGAAACTAAAGAATCAATCAATGATAATAGTACTGTGATAAATTCCCCGGAATTCCATTTATCAATTAGTAATTTATCGGAAGTAATTGTTACGGCTTGTCATTGGCTTGGAAGGTAGATATAATTAAGAAAAAGATTCTAAAATGAAATTATATGAGAAATTTTTTCGTAATTAGATTGCCATTCATTGAAAATATTAAATATATTGAATTACGTCGGAAAATAATTAAAGTTTTAGTTCAGATACGTTTATTATTACGTAATTTACGACTTACAGATGAAATTAATATGCCAAAAACGAAATTAATTATAGAAGTAAATTTTCGAATGATCCTTTTTTTTTTGTCTCCTATGAACTATTTAATATTTATTCAGATAAATGAATTACGAACTACAGCTATGTCTTTAATTCATCAAAATAAAGATTCATTATTTTCATCCGATTGTTATTTAATACGTGTTCATTTACGGCGTCCACTTAAAGATGATGTGGTAAGAAATTAACTGGTAAATTCTATTGAAGATTTTATACTTATTTAGAATATTGAATATACTACAATGCCTGATTATACTCATGTTATATCAAGTATTGAAACAGAAGTAAATTCATATTTATCAATAGATTGTTTAATTAATTGTATTTTATTTAAGGCTATGAGTTTTATGGGCTCAGGTTTTAGTGCCATTAATATTGGAGATGAAATTATAGAAATTAACAATCAAGTTGTGGTACGTATATTTTTTAGTTCATTCAAAGTTAAGTTATTCCTTATTGTTTGTTATAGGTTGGTTGGGATCCAAAACATTTTAATGAATTAGTTAGTACATCATCACATTCCAATGAAATATGTTTATTAGTTAAAAAAATGCCTCGACATAATGATGATGAAGTATATACAAAACGTTTGGCTGATGGACCACAGAATCCTCGTCGTGTACGTGCTCGTGGTGCTCTAGAGCGGCGAAATCAACAAACAGAAGAAAATCGAACTATGCTGTTAGAACAAGATGGGTAAGAAAAACAATCATTGATTAATTTGAATTTTTGTTAACTTTATTTTCCTATTATCGTAGTATTCGGGAAGAAGAACAGGTAGACAAAGCATTCATGTTGTCTAATTATTGAACAGTTTTCTTTCTCTTTTATCTCTATGTTGTATTATATATAGTGAAAAAAATATATCTTACTCTTTTCTATACATCATCTTTGTTTTGTTTCTACAGGGAGATTGAAATTGAAAGTGATGATGAAACGTTATATCAAAGTAAACGTTCTTCACAAATAAAACGTGATCAACATTCATCATTACCTGATCTAACTGAAACACTTCCTAATAATATTAATACATATAATAATAATAATGAAAATGCTGATCATACGGTGCCTTCATCAGCCGTATCATCTATATCAACAACTACATTAGTATCACCGACGCCTTCAACGAAATCAGATTCAAAACAAAAAGGTATGAAAAAGTCAAAGTTATATATGATTTTTAAATGATTTATCTTTCAGATAATGAACCATCACCAAATGCTACACCAAAAAGTCCAAGAAAATCGGTAAGAAAGTCAAGAATATGAAACTAATTACAATTATTCTTAGATTTCAATGTCTATACCTTCGAATATCTATTTTCAGGGTCTTGAATCATATATTGCAACAATTTTTCGTGCTCGACAAGATTCGAAATCCGTCATTGCTGATACGAATAATCATTCCAATAAAGATCATCCACAATTAGTAAATATTAAACGTATTCATTCCATAAAAAAACAATCTTCTACAATATCATTAAATGATGATCAAATACCTATATCTCCAAGTCCATTACCATCGTCTTCAGTGACTAAAAGTAGTAGTCAAACAAGTTTACAAACTTCATCAGCACGTTCATCATTTTCTAGTCTATTTCGAGTAAATTTTTACCTTCTAATACAAATAATTCATTCACTTTTCTTTAGCTATCCGATACATCGGATAAAAATCGTCGAAAACGATCGAATGATGATAGTGGAAAGAGTATGACGTAAGTTAAATATATATTAATAAAAACTAAAAAAAAAAGATACTGATTATAGATTCCGAAATGAAATGAAAATGGAAATTGCCTCAATATTTAGTAATAATTCCAATACGTCCAGTAAACCACCATTAAATCATAGTGATAGTCGAAAAGTTAGTTAATTATTTTGTTAAATAATTATTTAATTTCTTCTTTTTTCTAGAGTTCCGGTTCTATAGAACGACGTCGTTTAAAACGTACATGTAAGTGATTAAAATAAAACTTGTTTGAAACTTAATATTGATAAAATATTTCTAGTAAGCATATAAAAAGGTAAATCTATCACTGATAGAATTATTTTATTAGTTATTTTTGGTCTAAGGATTATAGAATTAGGTTTTGGTTTATTTTCAATATGTATTTTATTTATTTATTTTAGCATCATCTAATAAAATTTCATGTAAAGATTTGGGCAAAGGTGATTGTGAAGGGTTTTTAAATCGTTATTTATCCAAAGGAGGTTTAACTTTTGTACAATGGAAAGTTTATTGGTGTGTGTTAAAAGGTGGTACATTGTATGTATATAAATCTAAAGATGTAAGTTTTTTATGAAGTGAAGAAAACGATTTAAATTGAAAATGAATATTTAATTAAGGATAGAACTCAAGAAATTGAAATAAAACTTGAAGGAAAAAGTGTTTCACCAGCACCGGAAAAAAGAAAATAGTAAATAAATTCATTTAAATATGTATTAATTAATAAATGAACTATTTCTTATAGTGGTTTTTGTATAGCCGATGAATATGGTGAAAATCGTGAATATTTTTATTGTTTAACACGTGATGAAATGGCTAAATGGATGAATAAAATGGGTTTAGCAGCTATTAATTTCAATATTGATGATTCAAAAATTGCTGGTTTTAATAAAGGTTTTCTTAATTCATATGAAGGTTCACCAGCAACAACGCCAATTATTGGTCCACATAAACCAACAAATACTAAACATCAACGAACGAATCAAATAAATTCAGCGGGTGATAGTGGAAATGATTCGGATAAAGAATCAACTATATCATGGCAAAAATCTGTTTCACATCATAGTAGTATTTCAGATATGGAATCATCGAAAGATAAAGTAAATATTCCTCAAAAAAAGACTAAATTTATCTAGAAATACTTTTCTCATATTCAAAGAATTTACTTGATAATAATAATCGACATGATATATTAACTGTTGTTCGTCATGAACGATCATCATCAGCATCAATACCATTACCTGAAAGAAATACTAGTCCAATAAAAACAACATCGAATCATATGAGTAGTCAGATGAGTAAAGGTCATCATCGAACATGTAGTTCCCCGATACGTTTTCCACCGGCTTATGAAGATGATCAAGAAAGTGCATACATTAATGCAGCATCATCAAGACTTACAGATTCTGATTCATCAACTGAACATCTTCATCAACGAACATTTGTTAATAGTCAAATTTTAAATAATTATCAAGATCAAGAAGTAAGAATTCGAAAAGAACTTTCATAATTATTATTAAATCTTCTTAGTAATACACTGAATAGTGACATATCTCCTATAAAATATTTATACAAAAGATTAATTATTTTAGCATTTTCTAACTGCAAACAATTATACATCATTGATGCTTAATTCATCCGGTGGTTTTTCTACTCCAACTCCTGCTTTATCTTCCACATCTAGTAATAAAACACCATCATTCTCTCCATCATTAAGCAGATTATCGTCTCAACGACAATCAAATAATAGTATTTTTCTTCTTGGTGATGACGAATATTCTTTACCATCATCACGATCAGCAAGTTATTCTCAAGATAGACCGAATTCTCTATCAGAAGATCCATTATCACCTGTTTTCGAAATGAATCGTTCATCACCTCCAATTAATGTTCCACAACGACAATCATCATCACAATATAATTCACCTGCAGTTGTACATACAGCTCCTTTACCTATAACTACTTATTCACCAATTCCTTTTGTTAACCATTCCATATCATCAACAAATGGTGATGATGATGAATCATATTTTGTACATCGATCACCACCATCGTTAAATAAAAAATTTGAACAATCGAATAATACAATTAAATTTCTTCCAGTTTCACCAATGCAACAACATTCATCTAATTTAAATTTACAACAGCAATCAACATCAACAATAATGTATAAAACTTATCGTTTTCCAACAACACCATCTGAAGAACAACAAAAATTATAATATATATATATATTGTTTTTTCTTGAAATTGATTGTTTAAAAATTGTTTTATTATCTTGCAATAATTCTTTCTTTTTTTTATAAATAAGAAACCGGTTTTCTTCTAATGTTTTATTTAATTTTAATATATAAATAAATTAAATTTCTATTTCTATTTCTAAATTAATCTATTGATCATTTCTTCAGAAAAAAACAACAACAATGTTGATCTAGGCATTAGAATAATATGTATAATCGGAATACTATCAACGGCAATAGTGATTTATTTAAAAGTTCATTTTAATTACAAACATGCCGAGTATAGTAGTAAGTTATTATCATATCATATTTATTAATGATTTTAAACAAAAATGACAAGAAAAAATTCATCGGTATTAACAGTGTTATAAAATTATGGGTTTGGTGGAAAATGTCGAAAAGTAAAACGTCGAAAGGAAAACACCGAAAAAGAATATGTTAAAAAAATCTGTTTATTCAATCTTTGAAATTTAATGAAAGCAGTTTATTGACGGTGTGGGTGTGGGTGTGAATAATATATAAGCCCACACTAACTCAAATCTACACCCACACCTATACTTTCAATAAATTACTTTCATTAAATTCTAAAGATTAAATAAACAGATGTTTTAAATATATTATTTTTCGGTGTTTTCCTTTCGATATTTTCCTCCTTTCTCGATCACTTTCGACGTTTTCTCTTTCATCTCCAAAATATTCAATATTTTTCTTTTCGATGTTTTCCTACCTTTTTTTCGACTTTTTCACAATTCGTCGTTTTCCTTTTCGATATTTTCCGTATCACCTATATATTTATCAGTCTAATTAGAAGTTATCCTTCCTGTAACATTCTCCTACTTCAATTTTTAAGTAATGTGTATATACCATAGTGTGCGTTTTAGTTAAATAAGGCTCTTATGTTCATTTAGATAAACATAATCCAGACAATTTAAGTACATACATAATCTAAAGATCAGTACAACAAATTTTTTTAATATCTTGAATCCTCTTTGTTCTGTTAACTGAAGAAAATCGAAGATTATCGATTCATTAAAGACAGTTCGCTAATTACATGAGTTGCTATATTTGCAGTGAATACATTTCGTATTTGATATAATCTTTGTCTATTCTAAGGAACGTGATCATTCCAAGATGCGTTTCAATGCATCATCAATGATATTTGTTCGTTTTCTTCTTCAAATTCTTGTTGTTTGGTGTATCGTTTATTTAATCAATCATCTCTTTCTGGTAAATTTTTTTCTTTATAATTTTCTTTAAGGAAAATATCATGTTACATATTTAGCATTTTCAAGCAACAAAACGACCATATAGTCGTCTTCTTCGATCATTAGGTTGTCATGTATCTATATTTAATATTGGATTTTATACAACTTCATTTAATCGTACTTTTTATCGAATTGGTACAAGTAATGCTCGTTTATGGAAAATTTGGTTTACTGTAGGAATTCTTGTTGCATTTGGAACAGCTGTAACAGCTTGTGTTACTTTATTTATTCTACCCATTAAATATATATATGAATTACAAAGACGAGCTCCATCATCTATAGATTTAGGAATCAACACCAATGGTGTTAGTCAATCATTGACACAAAATAATCGAAATGATGCAACGGTTGATGATCGTGATAAATTATTAATTCAACCTATAGTTCGTTTAATATTCGTTTCAATTTACAAGGAAAATAATATATGAATTAATTAATTTAGATTCCTGGTATTAATGTACCATTAGAACATATCCCACATTTCTTCGTTGCATTACTTTTATGTACTATATTTCATGAATTTGGTCATGCTGTAGCAGCATCAGCGTAAAAGATTTTATTTTATTGTCACATTCATTGTTATTATTATTTCTTATAGTGAACAAATTCGTGTAAATGGTTGTGGATATTTTTTATTTCTTCTTTATCCGGGTGCTTATGTTGATTTACATCAAGAACAGTTACAAATGATTTCAGCTGTGAGACAATTGAGGTAAATGACAAAAATATTTCAGGATAAAAAAGAATTAAATAATATTATTTCTGTAAAAAGAATTTATTGTGCCGGTGTTTTTCATAATATGGTTCTAGTTGTTATTGCTTTGATATTTCTTGTTTTCAATCCGATTTTTCTTCGATATTTTTATACTGAAGGTGCAACTGTATATCGTGTAGCAAAAGTAAATTAAACTATTTTTTGATTAAAATAATATCCTAGTAAAAAATTTTCTATATTTATTCGAGGATTCACCAATACGTGATCTGCTACCTATTTATTCGATAATTCAATCAATTGATGCATGTACCGTTAATACATCTGATGATTGGTATCAATGTTTACGTTCAATTAATGACCAACATCCACAACAAAGTAGTGGATATTGTTTAACACAAACTGAAATACAAACTCATTCGAGTCATATTGGTATAAAAATTCCTTAATCGAGTAACTCACAAATAGCATGACAGTAGACATCACTTCATTTTGAACTTTGCAGTACTATTGCTTCATTAGTGAGTCATATTTTACCGAAGTATTATAGTTAATATGCATTATGAATATGTTCATCTCGAGTTATAATGATGTTGTGTCTTCTATGTCATCGAAAAAGGTATATCTCGATAGAGATAATGAAACTTGATTAAATACCTAGAAATCTTGAAAGGTTACTCTGACTTTATTTTATCGAGTTCTGTAATAACATTAGTATTGTTTAGGAGTTAGTAGACAATCAAAACTTGTTAATTCTCAATTATTACTTTAGAATTGAATCAAACAACTCATTATGATTGTTGTCAAAATTTATCACAAAAAAATTATTGTTTTCTTTATCATTCAAAACAATATCCTGATCAAGTAAAACTCAATTTTTTTTTTTTCTCAAAATAATTCTATTCATATTCATATAGAATGGTGCATGTATGGAAGCTCGTATTGTAACTAAACATCCACCCTGTTTTCTCAATAGTGATTGTCATAGTTATAACAATGATGCTTCATGTATTCATCCATTTTCAGCTGATAATATTACACGTTTAATACGTATTGCTCATAGTAATGGTCCCCCGATACTTTTTGTTGGTTCAATTCATGAAATATATCGAACAAGTGAGTGAGAAGAACTAAAAATGAATTTTAAGTAATTTCCTTTGAAACCATAGATATTAGATTTCCGGAATATAAATTTAATCACCTCTTTCGGTACATCGGAACAGTAAAAATAAAAGACAATAAATAGAATTACTTTTCTTTTTTTTTTTGTTGTCAGTAAAATATAGACGAACTATTGAAATTTGATTTACAATTCTTTTGTTCTATGAATAATAAAGGATAAAAATAAACTAATGAAGTTCTATTTAAAAATGCACCATTAAATTAAAAGAGTAATTTATTCTTTTTCTTTTCTAAGGATTAAAACAAATTATTATTTAAGATTGAGAAAACTGATAAAAGATATTCAAAAGAAAAATTAATCGAAAGAAGAAAATAAACTATAATTGACATTTTCTAGTAACAGGATACAAAGGTCACTAATTGTTTTTACTCCCGTTCTATTTATCGAGGTTAAACAATGTAAAAGTTTACTACTCTACTAAAGATGTAGAAAACGTATCATTAATAATAAAATCATGTTTTAGAATTTCCTGAAATCTTTCAAAAATAGTTTTTTTCAAGTTTAATTATTATAATATAGTTTTCCGAATGCTAAAAAAAGATATTTTGTCTTTTAGTTGGTATTCAATCTTATAAACCAAACTATATTTATTTACCAACAATTCTTATTCATGACATTCCATTATTTTTTCAGTAAGTTAATTAATAAATTTTTCTTTTTTTTTTTATTCTAATTAATTAAGATATCTCGGTGCATTTTCGTTTGCATTGGCATTTTTTAATGCAGTACCATGTTACGCATTAGATGGTCAATATATTCTTTCTTCATTTGTTGAATATCTATCTCCAACTTTATTTAAACGTCGTCGTGCCAGTATTTTACTCGGTTTAATTTTTGGCACTTGTCTTCTGATTATTAATGTTTCACTTGCTTTTGCTCGTTATTTTCTTTAACTTTTTATGTGTTTTTTTTTGTATAAAAAAAAATTATATATATATATATATTAAGTTTGATTTTCTTCTAGGCAGAATAGTTTGATTAGATGAGACATACATAAGGATATACACCTCGATAAGCAAAGCGAACATTCAGAACGGAAATGAAGCAAAATTAGAGATGTGAAGAGTATCGTGTGATATGCACATACAACAGGATATTGCAATTGAAATCAGCAATTGCCCATGATGATGTTCATTCAGTTTCTCTTTTTTTTTTGTTTTATTGTCATCGATGTGATGATGACAAAAAAATGCAGATGGAGATGATTAAAGAATAAAAAGCAAGCCGGATATGAGCAATTCATCGGCATCGGGCACTTGCTTCTACTATAGCCATCATCAGATGTAATCAGGCTTCAAATTGCTTCTTCTTTGAACGACATTATCGTCATTTTGAATGTCCACGTTGCTGTTATTTTCTTGTGAATTATTCATAAACAAGCATGTTATTAAAGATATAGAAGGCATCTATACTGTAATTATTTGCTACTAATAGTCTTCGCATGTTACCAACCTCATCATCTTTTTTCTATTATTTCTATAAGTAGAGTATTTAAAGAAAGAGAAACTCAACATTTATTTATATATATATATATAAGTACAAAACAACCTCGAATCTAATTATGGGTATTAACGATCTAAGTGTATATATATATGGATAAAGCAAGAAGAATATGTAACGATAGAACAATTATATGTTGAGCCACTTGTATATAAGAATAAGTATGTATATACATATGTATATATATATATTTCCAACAAGCTCAAGTCGTCCACAATTAACTCGAGTAGCTCTATTCATTCAATAACACGACAGGTGGTATTGATGATGATGATGATGATGGTGTGAATCAAAATCCTTGTCATATAAACATATAGTTACGTTTTTTTTATATTCATATACCAATAGGATATAAATGAAGCGGAAAAACGATTAGGTCTTTCATACCAACAGATTAGTCTGGATTATTCGATTAGATTGAGACTCTTTCTTGTTAAACATGCAACACTATTCTATTCTATTCTTTAACAATATAAAGTAAAAGTATAGTCATGTGAATATATATATTCATCTTCTCGTTTTCTTTCTCTTTTGATGATGCATTTCCGTACTTCCCATGTTAAATTACATGTTCGACCTTCTTTCTTACATTTCCGTTTATTTCATCTAATTTTCCATATATTGTCATGATAAATATACAAATGAATAAGAAAATAACGAAATAGATTTTTTAATGAATTTAATCAAATAATATCCTATTATTGTAAAACGAACCAATCAACATATTTTTTCTTTTTTATTCATTCGCCACATGAGACAAATTTGTCATGTTCACAAGATTCAACCAATCGTAAACCGATTTACTTTGAAAAGAAATTATCTTCTGCAATGCAGAAATATTAGTTTAATTGATTTCTTTTGTGTGTGTGTGTGTGTGTGTGTGTTTTTTTTTCTCATATTTAAAAAATAAGACATACACATAAACTGTACAAGCACTGTAAATAATAAGCGAAAAAGAAGAAAAAAAAAGAAAAGAAAAAAAAACAAAGATTTTTAAGCAGTCGCATCTTGTAACTCTAATTTAACACGTCTATGATGATCAAATGCTGTTAAATAAGATGATGTTTGTTCATGTATATCTGATGTTGAAGAATTAGATGATGATGATGATGTTGGTGATGCTGAAGATATATTTATATTAGATGATTGTATCGGCAGATGATGATGATGAGGATGATGATGATAGAGTAAACCAAGATTTGAAGGAGTTGCTGTGGGTGCTGTTGGTAAACGTGTTAGAACTTTTTCATCAATATGACCCATTAAAAATGGAAGATAATGTGGTGGAGGTACTGAAATTTGTGGACGTTCATTATTAGGATTTGTTCCAACAACATTTCCTGTTAAAGCATTGGATAAATAAGTTGACATTTGATGACGAAATGTTTCTAAATCATGTGGACCCATAAAATTAGGACTTTCACGACCAAGAGCTTTTTCACGTTTACGCCATTTAGCACGACGATTTTGAAACCTTGACAAAAAATAAATATATATTATGTCATTTTTTTTTAATCGATTTTAACTTACCAAACTTGTACACGTGCTTCACTTAAATCTAATCTCATAGCAAGTTCTTCACGTG